TTAGCATGGTTTTAGATGCGACCAGCCAGAGCTGGTCTGATCAGTGGACTTAAGTGACCTCGAGGGGGTGTAAACTTGTAAGAGGTCTGAGATATAACAAGATGCCAACCCATTTAGTGATTTTCGACACTAAGATCTTAAAATGTATTTTAAAATGGACCAAGTGCAACCTCGGGTACGGGAGGTGGACACGCAGTCGAGGAAGCCAAAACCCATGGGCACTGCCATCGGTCTCCAGTGCGTCTCTTAAATTGTTGGGAAGTGAGGTTTACTCACTGCACAGCTTCGCTGTCACATTAGCCCTTTTGTCATTTATGCTTATTCTTGCAGTACTATACTTACATCCCTCTTCAGATTTGCATTCTGTAGACGGAAATATATATATTTTTAAACTTGTGAAGAAACTTAAAACTGACAGTGTTAGTTTGTTACAGGTCGTCACGTTTCACAGATCTTCTGACCAATGACCAACAGCCTGAAATAAAACTCTCTGGCTCGTTACTTTGTTGTTGGCCAGTTTTCATGCTGGTTTACAGACTGCTTCAAAGCAAATGCAGTAGCAAATGCGTATCAGTATTTATAGCAGCTTTTAGATCAGCAACTTACTACAAGACAGAAGCGTTGCTGTGTGTGTGTGTGTGTGTGTGTGTGTGTGTGTTGTAACCAGATCTCAGAGGACAGAAGGACAGAATTAAGATGACCTTGTCACCAAACTATTCATCACACACACACACACAGTAAAAGATATCTACAATTCATAACAGCTCAGACAGTGGGGAGATGGGGTTTATAAAGTCTAAAGGAGTCTCGGAGAAGGCTCCAGTGGTCCTTTAGGATGTCCCAGGGATCTAGAGTGGTTGAGCAGATTCTAGGGGTCTTTAAGGAAGTTCTGTTGGTCTTTGAGATGGTTTAAGTGGTCCTTGAAGATATTGCAAGGGTTGAATTTTCCACAATCTAACATTCAACATGGATGCGTTACTCAGAGTGAAAGTGTCAAGAGACAAGTTCACTTATTAATATGTCTTTGAGAAAGTTTCCAAAATACTATAATGGTCCTTCAGGATGTTCAGGTCCTGAGATGGTTTAAACCATCCCTTTGCAGATTCTAGGGGTCCTTAAGGAAGTTCAAATGGTCCTTGAGGTCAATTTACTTGTCCTTGAAGAGATTGTAAAGCTTTCATTGTCCCATAATTAAACACTCAACACAGATTCCCTCTCTGTTGCCTGAAAAAGTGAAATAATGTTCTTAAAATAGTGACATGACACAGAAGAGAAAAGTGCTTGAAGGTGCCCTTAAGAAAGTTTCCAGATTATTGGAGGAATCTACTATGATCCTTGAGGTGGTAATGGTGCTTGAAGAGGTTGTTCAGTCAGCTGTGGTTCAGTTGAAGTGACTGATAGATGTTCTGAACAGCTTCAGAAACCCCTTCCCCTAAACCTTTCTGTTGTTGAAAGTTTCATGGTCAAATTTTGAGGAGTTCTTGATAAAGTGCCCAGGTTACAAATTCTCCTGGATGTTTTAGGCATTCCTGCGACGGTTTTCAGTAGTCTTGATAAGGTTCAGTGGGTTCTTGTATTATGTGAGTGGTCCTTTAACAGGTTCTCTAGGTTTATAAGGTGTTCAAATGATGATCCTTTAGGTGGTTTCAGTGGTCTTTTCGAAGGTTGCAGGGATTTCTCTGTTCCTCCACCTCCCAAGTCAACAGGAAAGCAGCACACCTGATCTCAAACCACTGGTCAAACACTGTCCTGATTTTATGAAGTGATGCTGATCAATCACAGCCAGTTAAATTGCATTTTGTTAAATAATTGAGCAAACTGATGCCTGTGAAGTAGTCTGTTCAAATTTCTTCTGAATCAGTTTAGTGACTTTACCCACATTCCTTAAACTGCCACCCACAGTGGGTAAAGTTTCACATAGCCTACCCCCCTTTAAAAACCCCATATACTGTAAGGCTGTGGCTGGTTTTCAGACTCGAATGCAGTACTCAGGACTCAGAGGTGGTGAATGAAACAGGGTTTATTAACAGTATGCTGGGTGTGAGAGATTGGGTTCAGAGAGTAGAGAGTCCAGGGGCAGCACTAGGCTGGGAATCCGGAAAAGCGGAAGTCCACGGGGCACGCGCCCACAGTCCCGGGCGGGTGAGAGCAGGAGAGGAGTCGTATCAGGAGAAGGGTCAGGCAGGGATATCTGCGGCACAGAAGAACAGGGTTAGCAGGGAACAGGCAGAAGAACTAGTCTTAAATTAGAACGGCTTGAATGTGACTGACTGGTAACGTTAGTCTACGATCTGGTGCTGAGTGGAGGCAGGAACCCGGTATAAAAGGCAGAGCATAATGAGGTTGATGGCTGGCAGCTGGTAACAGCCTCCTGCACACCTGACTCCACACCTGTAAAAAAGGAACACACACACACTACCCAGGAACAGGGGACCTGACAATATACTATAAAACACACTATATAGTAATGCTGACAGAACATCATCTTGGCAGTTACAGTGTGCGGTGAATTGATGTTTGTACTACGATGATGTGATATAAACAGTCAGTCAAACTGACTGTGGGAACCTCTACAAATTACTAAATACTGCTAATAAAACCTTTGATAAAGTAGGTTGAGGAATACGTTTCTGCTTCACAGTTGCTGTAAATGCACTTTTGTTTTTTTAAGTAATGACAGTCAGACAGCAGGAGTTGAGATTCAGTTTACCTGCATTACATCTATTTCACTTTGACTGTATTATGGAAGGTGAAGCTTTTGTTTTGGCAGGTCCACCAAGTTGAGCCATCACACCAGCTTTAAAAATAGATGCTAATCTGTATTTACAATCATAAATAATCCCCCAGCTAATAACAGATGATCCAGACAGTGATCTGAGCTGTAGTGTGTCCGGCTACATGCGTTTGATTACAGTGCTGTGTTGTGTCATGCTGTTCTGAACTTAATAATGAGCTGTAGTGATAAATACAGACATTGACTCATAGCTCTGCTATATGAGGATAAACTCAGAGAGTAGCAGCATGGCACACAGTTAATCCACAGCTATCTGATAAATTCTAGTCTGAAAAACACACACAGCTGACCTGGGTACATGTAAAACTCTAAAGCTCTCAATCAAGTGTATTCAGATCAACATTTAAAACTGTTTTAGAAATCCTCATCTGCAAGGGTTAGAACTGGATTTAAAACATGTCATAATGGATTATAGTGCATTTAGAATAGGCTAAAAGTGTTATAATAGCTGATTTAAAATTATTAGGATGGGTTATAAGGCATTCAGAGTTATAATGAATTTAGAACATGTTATAATGGGTTACAATGCATTTAAAATGGGTTATAGTGCATTTAGAATGGGTTAGACTGTTTTATAGTGAATTTGAATGAGAGATAATGGGTTTACATGAGTTATGCTGGACAAAACCAATAAGACCAATGTCTCCTCCTCTTCCTCCTCTTCTTCCTCCTCCTCTTCCTCCTCTTCTTCCTCCTCCTCCTCCTCCTCCTCTGTCAGAGCTGATTCACTTGCTATCAGTGTTTCCACCCACACTCTGTTATGAAAAAATTCACTGCAGGGCTTCTACAAGCTGTGACTATTCACACTTACACAGATAAAAAAATATATGCTTATTCTTCATCAGACCTACTCTCTGTGTATACTGTGCATATACATGTGACACCTCCTCATATGTAACTGGGAACAAACACAGCTGGGAGCAAGCTTAAACTTGGGTTATGGACATCGAAAGGCATCACCGCTTTTCCTCAAATGGCCCAAGAATGATGTGTTGAGTCGACTCTTGGTGGCTTTTAAATGTTTATTGTACGTAATGGTTCAGGTTGTGAATAATTCTGTCATATTTGAATATCACTCAAGGCAGTTTCATAGTAATTTTGTTTTGTAATAGTCGTATATGGCGTGATGTCTATGACCCTTGATTTAGTCAGTCAACTAGGTTCCCACTATAGGTGCTCAAGTAAATTTACTTAGCTACGCTCTGTGTCTTTAAATATCGATGAAGGAGATTTGAGACGTACAGAGCAGCTCTTACTGGCACTGTGGCAACTGGACACATGGAGTCATTATTATGAAGTGCTCAATCACCTTCTGTCTCTCTTTTTCTCTTTGTATTATCACCCCTCTCTGTCTCCAGCAGCTGCAGCTCCATATGTTCTTCATGTTGTTACTGTAAAGTAGATCAACTGCTCCAGGTCTCCAGGTTGAAATGATGTAAATATCAGAGTGAGATGGATTTCCTCCACTTGTTCTTTTGAGGCATGGCCAAGAAGTGTTTGTATCACTTAGCAATATCTTTGCTGAGGTTCAAGCTAAGGCACCAGCTCAAGATACACTTACTGACCTGCTTACATTAATACAAATGGTTACTGGTCAAACAGTTTATCTGAAAACGCCTCTATAATTCACATAGCGTTCCGGTTTGTGTCTTCAAAGGTATTTTCATGATCTCACAGATGTCTCCTGTTTGCGATGATAACATGTTTTCCCTAGTCAAAACCAACATTTAAATGCAACATTTCCACAGTCTGAGCGGACATAATGTACCCTCCATCCCCAAGAAGAAGATGAGAGCCGAGTGGTGCAGTCTGTAGAAATGTTATATTTAAACACTGGTTTAGCCCCGGGCAAAAATGTTCAATTTGGCCAGAAAGTACACACGTGTGAGAACACAAAGTGTTTTTTAATATTTACAGAATTCTCCAGCATCTGTCACACAAATAAGAAGATGTGAATTAGAAAAGGAACAGATGGGAGTGGTGGTAAATGTTTTTTCTGACTGAAGTTTTGCTGTAACTCCATAATGTTTCCAAAACCAGCTGCCACGCCTTTTCTGGGTGGTGTTTTTTGTATGTGTTGAGCCATTTTGAAGGACATCCCCTTTTTTGTTTGATGTTGAACTGACCACCAATCACCTCCATTGATGCCCCTGGAGCTAAAGAGCACTCGATTCAATATTCAAACACTCTGTCTCTCTGTTTCCAGGAATTGGGTGTGGTGCAGTGGGCGGGGCGTTGCCAGGGCTGATAGGCGCCAGTAGTCCCTCAGTGATGATGAAATCATTCCTGTCGTTTCCTGTCGAGACAACGTCACCAGTCGGACTTTTCCCAAACTTCAACACGGTATGACTGTGTGTGTATGAGGGACAGTAACAGTGACAGGGTGTTGTAGCTGCAGGCAGTACAGACTCTGTCAGCACCACTCTGTCATGACTGTTCAGCCAATCTTGAACAGGCTGGTGACCTCTGACCCCTGTGTGTTTCCTGCAGATGGACCCGGTGCAGAAGGCCGTCATCAACCACACCTTTGGCGTTACCTTGGTACCCAAGAAGAAACAGGTCATCTCATGTAACGTCTGCCAGCTGAGGTTCAACTCTGACGTAAGTGTCTACCTTTGTATTTCTGTCTGTTTGTGTGTGTAGTTTTAGATCAGATTCTTCATACTCCTCCAGTCATTTTGATCATGCTTCTATGATCAACTTCCTGTCAGCTGATCTATCTGCAGTCTAGACATTTCTGGAAATCCTCTTGCCTCTACAGACAGCTACAGATATCATGCTTGGCAGTCCCACCAGGACCTCAAAGAGTTTTATGATTTGTGATAATGAAAATGTTCAGCTGAGACTGTGTGATACTTGTTAGTTTGTTTTTGTGTACTGGATTATTCTGTCAGATTTTCAACACAGCAGGTGCGTATAACCAGGTGTAACCTCTACCCTTCTATATACACAGTGCTATGTAAATGACACTCAGCTCATTCACATAATGACGGCTCAGAGAAAACGAGATGCCTTGTTAGTGACATGCCAATCAAACATGACTAATGTATGAGTCGTTAAAATTATTCATGAGTGAACATGAAAACATGAATCACTGCTGAAGGGAGGAGAGGAGATGAATAAAAGAGCGCAGCATTAGCTTAGTTTAATAAGATGAGCAAAAGCTGAATAAAAGAGCTTCCAGACAGTCACATGAGGACACTGTTGACCCGGAGATGTGTTAGTGTACTGACACACTGTTACTCTGGAGCTATATACACTGTGTTGTGACACCTAACATGAACAGTGTTACAGTGTAGAGACAACCTGGTTATGTAAACTGTTCTCACACTGCATCACAATTTAGGCTCCACATTTCAAGTCCATCATCAGTCCACATCAACATGTTAGCATTGTCACTGTGAGCATGTTAGCATGCTGACAACCTCACAGGGCCACTAGCATGGCTGCACTGTCTTAGCAGCACTGTAGCAGAGATTACAGCTAAAATGTGGAACAATAAAAGTACAAGAGAGCGTGGGTGGATATTGATATTAACTACTATGATGTATAATATGCACACTGCTCTGCTCACAAAACATAATGGGAGCTGTGGGTTTTTTGTTTAATTCCATCAAAGTACACTACTACTGCTACTACTACATGAAAAAAGTTTTATAGCTATTTGTGCCTCCAGAGGGAGCGGCGTGAAATCTGGTAAACTGACTCAAGTGATGTCACATGAGGCAGTGTCTGAAGACTACAAATCTGAAAATGGAAAAAATCTTGGTGTGTGGAGTTAGAAAGTGAGTTTACCACATCTCTGTAGCCTGCTCCTCACCTTTACACAATGCTAGCAGCTGGACGCTACATTACTGAGGCCCCATCCACACTACTCCATTTTAGTTTACAAATGGAGATTTAAAACGAATACGATCTCCATCCACACCAGCGTTTTAGCTGCGTATCAGAGTTGATCTCCGTCTACATTAAAGAGGAAGAATGCAGAGGAAGAATGGAATGGACCAATAACGAGCTGGGACTGTTACTGAATGTAACACAGGAGTGTTGCTGCAGAAAACAGAGTGGGAGTCGTTGCAAAGAAAATGGCGTCAATTAGGTACACAATATTTTAATAAAAATACCATGTCAAAAACTCTATGTTGTTGCACCATGTGTCTGCTTTACATGACTTATAAGACCCAATCAGAGAGCCAAGCGTGAGTGTCTGCATCATCGTTTCTAAAGTCCTCCATTTTAGCCCATCTTCACTAAAACGCACTCTGGAGTTTCAAAACGAAAAACGGGGTCGGCAGCGTTTCCAAACTTCTCTGTTTTAGGTTTTCATTTTTGCCGTTTTAGTCTGGATGGGAGGTGCAAACGTAGAACAACACACCCAAATCTCCAACTTAAGTGTTACAGTCAAGTTGCATTGTGGGTAATGTTGGTGTGAGTTTTGACACCCTCCACGAGAGATTGTACTGAGCCTCAGAAGCTAATGGAAGAGTTACAGGATGTGATATTAGGACTTCATAACAATGTCTGTGTGTCTCTTGCTCAGTCTCAGGCAGAAGCTCATTACAGAGGCAGTCGTCACGCGAAGAAGGTCAAGTCTCAGGAGAACAAGGCAAAGGCCAAGCTGGCAGTCACTGGAGAGAACAATGAGAGCAGCACAAGTCCTGTGGGCCTCACCCCACCTGTCTCATCAAACAGTAGCACCAATCAGCACACAGGTTGACTTTATCTACTAAAAACACTGATCTAAATACGGTTACTGTTGTTGTTTGGTTTTAATATCACAGGGTGTTTTTTTTATTGATTCCTCCACTTTTTACTTCTCCTCTTCTTCTTCCTCTTACCCATCCTCCCTCCAGAACTCTTATCTAGCCTTATAGACTCCTCCTCTGCTCTCAAATCGTTCCTCCTCCCCTCTTCCTCCCCTCTCTCCTCGTCCTCCTCTTCCTCTAGCAGAGCAGGCAGTGAGCCTCCTCCCTCCAGTCCTCCCTCTGCCCTCCCTGCACCGGGCCTCTTCTCCTCTCCTTCCTCCTCTTCCTCTTCTTCCAAAGCCTCTCCCCCTCCCCCTCCTCCAGCTCCTGTCACATCCGCTTCATTCTCTGCTCCCCATCCTCCTCCTACTCCTTCCCAGGCCTCCTCCCAGGATGCTTCTCTCTCCGCAGAGTCGGAAGAGGAGAAAGCAAAGAAGCTGCTGTACTGCTCTCTGTGTAAAGTCGCTGTCAACTCTCTGTCTCAGCTGGAGGCTCATAACGCAGGTGAGGAGGGACGAGATGATGTATAGAAAAACATTGGTCACTCCAAATGAATGATAATGTTGCTCTGTAACTGCTGGATGTGTGAACATCAACTTAGAAGTGTGTACAGCCTGTTGTTGCAGGTTTTAAAAGTCCATCAGAAAAAACAGTCATTCAACATTCAAGACGGTCAGTGGTGGATGCTGAAATGGCCATCATTTTGATTTATTGTTTATATTTATCTTTATGGCCTTTATGTGTTTGGTGTTTTCCTGTTTCAACATGACAATGACCTTGTGCACAAAGCCAGGTCCATAAGGGAAAGATTTTCAGGGAAGAGCCCTGACCTCAACCCCATCCAACACTGACTGTTAGCCCGGCCTTATCTCCCAACATCAGTGTTGGACCTCACTTATGCTCTTTATGTTAAATGAGAGCAAATCCCTGCAGCAGAGGTTCAGAAATCTGGTAGAAATCCCGAAACTAGAAGATTAGCGGCTCTGATCAATGCCCATGGTGTCCATATACTTTTGACCATGTTGTGTGTATGTGGCTGGACACTGGGGAAGTTCAAGTTGGGGTCTCATTTACCATGTTTACCAAAAAGGGTCCGATTGATGTTATTGCTGATATTGCTTGGACTTTCTGACCAATCCATGGACTTTGACACCACACTAACCTTGAATTAGAGTTAAGTTATGTCACCTCAGTTTTGTTGTACCTTCGTTATCCTTCATGGTGGTGCATTCAAATTGCTTTAACATCCCAGAAGACAATCAAACGTGGACTTTGTGAGAATGATCACGTGAATTTTGTTGGGTCTAGCATTTAAAACGTATCTGATTAGCAGCAAACTGGCATATCTCAGATTTTGGGGTGCCCTTAAATGCATCAACATAATGAGCTTTCAGCCACATGTTGATGATTACCACACAATAATTTGTCTTCAGTAAGTTTCAGGTTTCTGCAGGTTGGTTTTTATAGAAATAAACTAGTGGTTACCTGAAAGGAAGGAAATCAATTTTAAAACTGATGGATCCTTTGAAAAAAAAGCAGCAAGAATTGAAAGTATTGTGGGGTTGGTGAAGGTGATAAAAAAAACAACAACATCAATATGGCCTTATAGCTGCAGCACTGTGAAACACCCACACTGACATTCTGTATATATTTATCATTACTGTATGTCTCTTTTTTCATAGATGTTGGTTTCTGTGTGTCTCTGTTTGCAGGTTCAAAGCACAAGACGATGCTGGAGGCTCGGAGTGGTGCCGGACCAATCAAGGCCTACCCACGACCCGGAGCCAAGCTGAAGAACGGCAGCAGCTCTGGAATAAAAGGGTCCGGCCTGCAGAACAAAACCTTCCACTGCCAGATCTGTGATGTCCATGTCAACTCTGAGATCCAGCTCAAACAGGTAGAAACAAAGCGGACACATACAATAAAATAACATTATTTTAACATCACATTTTACAAATCTTGCTTACTGTTCCGAAGTCAAACAAACTGTCTGGTCCCCAAACTAAAGCAGCCTGTTATGTCTAAACTTTCTAGTTACACCTGAGAGCAGAAATATTAAAACTTGAAATGGAGTTTTTAATTCAGACTTTGATCACGGAGATTACAACCACCAGAGTGAAGAATGTGTTTGTCACTATATATGCCTGATATTTGCTTGGAGCTATCAGTACAGTGTGAATATGTTTTGTCTTACTTTCCTCATCAGGCTCAGATATGCTCATATTTTGCGGCTTCTGTGTCAACGTCAATATTTTTCTCCAAGGTAATATTGGATTGATTATGGGAAGACTATTTCATCTGTATTGGCAGGAAGATTTTCTTTTCTCTATGTCCTCCTGCCTTTAATTAATTTCAAAAGCACAGCCAGACGAGTCACCGACTGCCCTGTCCTCAGCTCTGTTGTCAGCGTGAGAGTGTGTTTGTTGTTGTTGCAGCACATCTCCAGCAGGAGGCACAAAGATAGAGTGGCAGGAAAACCCAGCAAACCCAAATACAGCCCTTACAACAAACAGCAGCGCAGCTCACTCACTGTAAGTGTCTCTCTTCCACTGTCTCTCTCTCAAAATCAAATTCAAATTAGCTTTTTTGGCATAAATCATACTAAAGTAGAGTACTGTGCAGATCAATAAATGCATCAATGCAATATACAAATGCTAATATCAATAATGGGGAACTGAATTAATTTATACATTTGACTTGTTTCATCTCGTCTCCTCTTTTTTTCTCATCTCTTTATTTCTTTATTTCCATTCCTTGTCTCCTCATCTTCTCTCCTTGTTTCTTATTCTTGTCCCGTCCTCTCTTCTCGTCTCCTCTCCTCTTCTCCTCAGAAGGAGCTGGTGAAGCCCTCTCTCTCTCCTTCCTTCCTCTCCACTCCCTTCGCTCCTCCACCCTCCTCCCTCACCTCCTCCATCTCGCTCCCTCCCACCTCTCTCTCCTCCTCCCCTCTCCTCACTCCCACCTCCTCACCCCTCACCCCTGCCATCTCTCTCCATCCTCGCCCTCCAGCGTCCTCGTCCCTCTTCACCGCATCCTTCCTGCGTCCGGCTCCTGGACCAATCAGAACGAGCCAAGGATCCATTCTCTTCACACCCTACTAACGGCAGTGGGAGTCGAACCGGCGACCTTTGACCTCTGACCTCCAGTTTGTTGGAGCTCAACGGGCAGAGGAGTCCAGAAGAGACATTCAAACCTGCAACCATCTCACCTGACTGAGGCTTCAAAAAGAGACCTGAGAGGACAGAACCTCCACCTCCTTCTGTCTAGATCTCCTTCTCTGGTCCAAAAGGTCACAGCTGACTTGAAAGCAACCCGTGATGATTTTTTCCAAACCAGAAAGGGACTCAATGCTTTAAAAAAAACACAGCCCTAAAGCTGAACAGAACATAAGTTAAAAGGTTCTCACACATTCTGGAAAACCTGGTATTTTTTTAAATGCAGTCATGAATATCTGGTCATGGAAAAGTCTATCTGTCATCCCCATTTCTCATTTTAATGCTCCTGATTCAGCTGATTTGAAACGTCCAACTTGAAGATAAATATGTAGAACCTTTAACTTGTGCATGAAAACATAGAGACAGTTTTTTCTTTGTTCTGCCTTTTTACCAAAAATGCGCCCTAAAGTACCTCATCGTTTAATGACAAATGACTTTTTGTGGAATCTACTGAAAATTGAGCTGGAGTTTTTAATATAGTTTGGTTTGATTGAGAAAACAATAATCAGATCCAGATTTTCAGGCTAGAAGATGCAGCTTGTGTTGAGACCAGACACAAAAGTGAACAAGAAAGTCTGGACTTTTCGTTCAGGTTGGCTGCAGGTCCTCAGGAGTTAGGAGCGGGTTGGATCGGTCTGAACAAATCTCCTCTAAACACAGAAGCTCTTCTTCCTCATGCTGGATGAACTAACCAGCAGACACCTGATGTCAGAGAGTCCAGCACGTCACAAATACTGCAGATGTCTTCACGTCATATCAACACTGGACTGTGATGCCACAGGTGTCCTCCCTCAGACATCCCCGCGCTCATGTTCGACTCGTTCCTAACATACAGCAAACTACGAAGTGGAGAGAGAGAATTTAAAAGATGCAGCTTACGCTATTTTATATTTTGTTTATTGTCACCAAATCCCTTAAAAAGCACAGAACCAAACAAAATGTCAGTACTTTTAGGCTTTCCTACACTTTCTGTGGCTTTCAGGCCCAAATCCATTGGTTTCTACTTACGACACAAATCTTTAAAAATGGCTCACAAATATATAGTTTCATTTTTTACAAAGCCTCAGTAATTTCCTAAACAGCTGAACACTGTAGTTTTAACTAAATGTTACTCCAACAGGAGGAAATAGTACAAAAATGTTGTGTTTCTTCACTCATCTGACGTCACACATGTGTTCAAAGATCTCAGCTATTGCAGTATAATTTTGATATTTTTAAACCTGGGCCCCACTGTCACATATTTTGGTGTTGAGCTCTTGTACGTACGCAGCAAACTCGTCTTCCTCATTTCCACCAGCAACAACTTGCCTCTAATGAGATTTCAGTGGGAGAACAGTCCTTGAGCGAGTCTTCTGTTTCTTGTGAAAAACAAAGGGTGTAACTTGGAGTCAAGCGTGCAGATCCTTTCCATGATGTTGTCAGACACCTCATCAGTGTGAACCTGTCGTGGAAAAAAGCACTTTATGTGGATGTAATTTTGACAGGCACAATTGCCCCAAATTAATATATTGTAGCCACTGCTGCCGGCTGAAGCCATCTACTGCACAAATTCCACAACTTTTTGTACCTAGTCATTTTGACTAGTCATTAGAAAAAGAGGGCCCAGGTTTAAAAATACAGAAATTAGCCTTTATCTCTGTACAATGTTATTATTGCGGATAAAAATTATGAAAAAAACTATGAAAATATGACCTAAGTTGCAGGGCCATAGTCATGATTGTAGAAATACCTGGTTCATGAGCCCAGGCCTCCCTACAGTCTGCTTTCCTTGTTGTTTCTCTGCACTCTTAGCCAGGTATGTAATTCTGGTTGAAGCTAAATCCCTTTAAATGTAATTTATTCTGTTTTTTGTCTAAAACAGCCACTGTGTAATTATTTACACACTGACTTTAATATGTGTGTTGTTGATGTAACTACTCTCACCATGACAACATAAAGTCCAGGTGAAAATCAGTTTTACCAAGTCAGCAAAAACCAAAAACAATAACACAAAGTCACATCAGGATGGTTAATTCAGGACACACAACACTGGCTAAACTTGCTGTATGTTTGGAATCAGAGTACGAAAACATGAACGCCTCCTCCTTATATCTGATGTCCACACTTCTGCCTGTACCTGTTGTCGTCTCCACTGCCAGTGTGTTACAGATTCGCTCTGCACTCTGGGCTGGGCTACTTCCTGGTTTTACAGTGAAAAAGGCCTTTCGTCCTGACTGTCGGTTTAGTGTCAGTCAACCTTTCTGCTGTCACTGAATCTGACTAGAACTTTCCGGGGTTTAAAACGGAACAGAACATTTACTGTCACTGAAACTGAAACTTTTTTCACAAAGAGTCAGAGGAACTTTTTAAGACTTTAAAAACGTCACTGGAACACTGGAAGAAACAATATCCGTAAATAAGCTTATTCACTTTCAACGAGAAAAAGAAAAGACTAACTTGCTTCTGGTGGCTTTTTCTGTGCTTTAATATTTTATTTTACAGTATATGTTGTAAATATTTGCCCTAACCTTTTTCATGACTTTCAAACAACCACATGCCCTGTCCATTCATCCAACACCTTGGTCAGGAGACAGATTGTTCAACAACTACTAGCCACATTTGGATGCACCCATGAGATTTGTCCTTTCATCTAGTGCCACCCTCAGGACAAACATCACATTTTCAGCTCCACTACTTGTAATGCTCTTAGAAAATCTAAATAATTAGCATGTTATGTGCGACAAAATTCAGAAATTCAGTGAATGGAGATGTATCATCACATGACCTAAGTATGGAGCTTCTGTGATAACAGGTGCTCATATATATGGAGGGAGATGGTCTCTTGACTTCAGCTGTGAACGTCCTCCTTGATCTTTCGGGAGGACTTTCATTAGACGCCTGATGTTGTGTTCAGGTATGTTTGTATTTATTTATTTTTTCAGTGGTTTTAAACACACACACGCACAAACACATCTCCCGGTCCATATCTGCATAAATACAAGCACCAGCATCAAGGAAGTTATCCAGCCTTGCAGACACTATAACAAAGGGGCCAATGTTACATTTTTCTTTTTTTAATGGATTGGACGTACAGATTACTGACCCAGGCTTTCTTAATATATGAAATCTGAATCTGAGGGTTGGAAATGGGTTTCTTGAAGAAAGAAAACATCACCTTTAAGCTGCTGTAAGTGTGTCACTGCTTTGTCCGCTTTCATGGCTCCCTTGACTCCTTTATTATTCCTTAAGACAAAATGGCAGCTTCTCTCCAGCATGAATAAAAATAAAGAAATTTACATGCAGTTGTAAACCAATAGCGGTACAAGAAGTGAGGTATTGTTATGAGTAGAGAGTCTGTGCTGCCTGTGAACTTACCTTCACTAAAGTACATTTCCTAACTATACTGTTTTCATATTGTTTGGCAAATTGCACTTTTTTTGTTGATATTTGTAGCAACAAGTTTGTGTCTAATATTCTAATTGTGTGTTTTGCTCAAAGTTTGGCAGATTTTCATCATCCCCTCCATGTAACAGACTTGAGTCATGTGATGAAGCCTGAGCTAGCTCCATCTGCTAAAGACGAGTATCAAATGTGGTGGAAAGTTCAGGTGGGAAAAGCTTGTGAAGTGGACCTGTTAGATTTTTTTATTTTTTAGTCACACAACTGGTCAAGAATGAACTTTGATGCTCAACATCGGTATGCTGCTTGTTATGTCCATTACTTTCATAATGTGGCTGTAATAAACTCTGCAGCATCCACGGTGCAGCATCCACGGGAAACTAGCAGCAGCTGGTGTTCTCAAAAAGCCAACAAACGTCATAGCAAGAAAATAGCTTTCTTTAGCATTTTCAGACTTACATTTGATAAAAAATTTAATGATAAGGTGGTTTGAGAGTCATGAACAGGGTTCAAAGAACCAGGAGAAACCATAGAAAACTTCTCACAAACTTGAAGATGTAGTAAAGATCCTCCTCTGTGTTGTCAATAATAATAATAGCAATGTCAATAATTTACTTGAGAGAGAATCACTTGTTCTTCTTCCTATTGGGTGGACTTGACTTGAAGGTTGTTTTCATACTGGCTATAAGTAAATGGTGAACCATATACCTTTTATTTCTAGTCAGTATGAACAATTGGAACAATTGCAATGACCAATAACTCTTGAAATGCTTTGGGAATGTGAGAGTTGTTTTAAGATAGACGTGAAATAATGCAAACCTATTCTGTAATGGGGTAAAATACTTTTGCCCCCCTAAAATCTACAATGAAATGTCAGCGATTCCACAGCAGCTGTTTAAAAAAAAAACATATTTATAAGTGGTTATTTAATTATTAATTATTAGTACACAGTACAAAGCAGAGATAGAGTGCACCAACATTGGTAATTTCCAAGCAAAAAGTCCTTACTACAAAGGCTCCATCTAGAGATTTTGAAACCAGTCTCGCTTTGGTCACTGTTTCAGAAATGAGTGCTAAAGAATGTCATGCCCAAAGCTGTCAATGAAAAGACACTGTGTGGACTCGATAAAAACAAACAAAAAACAACAACAAAAGAAAAAATATATATATATACACTACCGTTCAAAAGTTTGGGGTCACCCAAACAATTTTGTGTTTTCCTGAAAAGTCACACTTATTCACCACCATACGTTGTGAAATGAATAGAAAATGGAGTCAAGACATTGACAAGGTTAGAAATAATGATTTGTATTTGAAATAAGATCTTTTTTACATCAAACTTTGCTTTCGTCAAAGAATCCTCAATTTGCAGCAATTACAGCATTGCAGACCTTTGGCATTCTAGCTGTTAATTTGTTGAGGTAATCTGGAGAAATTGCACCCCACGCTTCCAGAAGCAGCTCCCACAAGTTGGATTGGTTGGATGGGCACTTCTTGCGTACCATACGGTCAAGCTGCTCCCACAACAGCTCAATGGGGTTCAGATCTGGTGACTGCGCTGGCCACTCCATTACCGATAGAATACCAGCTGCCTGCTTCTGCTCTAAATAGTTCTTGCACAATTTGGAGGTGTGTTTAGGGTCATTGTCCTGTTGTAGGATGAAATTGGCTCCAATCAAGCGCTGTCCACTGGGTATGGCATGGCGTTGCAAAATGGAGTGATAGCCTTCCTTATTCAGAATCCCTTTTACCCTGTACAAATCTCCCACCTTACCAGCACCAAAGCAACCCCAGACCATCATATTACCTCCACCATGCTTAACAGATGGCGTCAGGCATTCTTCCAGCATCTTTTCATTTGTTCTGCGTCTCACAAACGTTCTTCTTTGTGATCCAAACACCTCAAACTTGGATTCATCCGTCCACAACACTTTTTCCAGTCTTCCTCTGTCCAATGTCTGTGTTCTTTTGCCCATCTTAATCTTTTTCTTTTATTGGCCAGTCTCAGATATGGCTTTTTCTTTGCCACTCTGCCCTGAAGCCCAGAATCCCGCAGCCGCCTCTTCACTGTAGATGTTGACACTGGTGTTTTGCGGGTACTATTTAATGAAGATGCCAGTTGGGGACCTGTGAGGCGTCTGTTTCTCAAACTAGAGACTCTAATGTACTTATCCTCTTGCTCGGTTGTGCAACGCGGCCTCCCACTTCTTTTTCTACTCTGGTTAGAGCCTGTTTGTGCTGTCCTCTGAAGGGAGTAGTACACACCGTTGTAGGAAATCTTCAATTTCTTAGCAATGTCTCGCATGGAATAGCCTTCATTTCTAAGAACAAGAATAGACTGTCGAGTTTCAGATGAAAGTTCTGTTTTTCTGGCCATTTTGAGCGTTTAATTGACCCCACAAATGTGATGCTCCAGAAACTCAATCTGCTCAAAGGAAGGTCAGTTTTGTAGCTTCTGTAACGACCTAAACTGTTTTCAGATGTGTGAACATGATTGCACAAGGGTTTTCTAATCATCAATTAGCCTTCTGAGCCAATGAGCAAACACATTGTACCATTAGAACACTGGAGTGATAGTTGCTGGAAATGGGCCTCTATACACCTATGTAGATATTGCACCAAAAACCAGACATTTGCAGCTAGAATAGTCATTTACCACATTAGCAATGTATAGAGTGTATTTCTTCAAAGTTAAGACTAGTTTAAAGTTATCTTCATTGAAAAGTACAGTGCTTTTCCTTCAAAAATAAGGACATTTCAATGTGACCCCAAACTTTTGAACGGTAGTGTATATATTATCCTTGTGGTTATTCTCTATGGTTTCAAATGGTCAGTATTTTCCTGTCTGTCTTCCTGCCTCCTCCTGAATAACTTGAAGCATCTCAGTCTTCCAATTATGAACAAACAGGTTTAAGGAAACTATGTGTGTGTGTTTGTGTGTTTATCTATGCAGTATTTGGTCTTACGGCGCAGTAACTCTATCTCATCAACATGCAACTGTAAAAAGAAGTGTCAAAACCATGTTGATGATGCTGATTAACCTCCACTACGGCTGTTTAACAGCAACTTGTTGAGCAGCTCCGAGCTGTTCAACTAAACGTCCTCCTCTGTCTGATGATGTCATCATGATGCAATAATGTACAGATCAGCTGCTGCTTTTCTATTCACTCCACTTCCTTATTAGCAATACCGAGGCCTGAGAGTGTTGATACTAGTCCGAGTCCTGATGCTGGGGGCGAGTTGCAATACTGAAATGAAACAAACAGGGAAGTGTTGTTTCTAGTTAACATGATATAAACTTGTCCTTTTTGTTCAATCTGAGATTGTGAGTGTGTGTCTGTGTGTGTATCTTTTATATAATAAACGCCTGGATAAAGTACATTTTGTTGCTGATACTGCAGTCCTTGATATTAGTGCTTGCAGCCACGTTACTTCTGATTTGCAGATAAAACATTATTTATTCTCAAATGAAGTGGCTATAATTGTTTTATCGTAATATTTGTATCATAGGGAAATGTTTAAATATTGATAAAATTAAAGTTCAATTATCTGTGGAAAGATGCAAATCCCCTCTTTTTTGTTGTTTTCTTTTAGAATAATTGTAAAAAAAACCCACATTTGTAGTAATATTATAGAAAAGACCCTAAATGTAAATTTTCTATTCTATTTTTGTTTTTGTTTTTGAAATGACCAGAAACACAGGTCAACACTTGGTTGGTGTAAAATGAAAGTCCTCTGTTGGTAATACAGGAATGTCTGTGTGTGTGTGTGTGCGCGCGTATGTGCGTGCGTGCACGCGCGTGAATGCACATGTATTCTCTCCATGCTTTGAATGAACCTACCATCTGATTTAATCACTTTTCTTCCAAAATAAAAGCTCATGTTCCATTAACCCAGAGGACATGCACACGGATAAATAATTAAATGTAGTAGTTTTGAAACACGTCTGAGACATGGTTTGGTAGTGTAAATCAGTTTAAACTGTGGTGATACATCAACTTTAGTTTTCATGGACTGTGCATACACAAAAAGGAAGTTCAGATTCAATCAATTTTCAACCTATCTTCACCATTCCAACTTTCCCAAGGTTATTGTAACTGGAGACAGGTGAACTACTTAAACTGAATCATCAGGATGCTAACAAAACAAAAAACAGTTTCCTTTAGATTTCATCTTAGAGCAGCTGCATTCAATCTTCCTCTGACATGTTAAAAACTCATACTTTCAGAGAACCTCCGTCCACTTCTTCATGTACAATATTTATTCTCTGAGCTTGTTTTTTTTTATGATGATGCAAATTATGTGACATTTCTTTCTTTATAATTTTCTGTAATTTTTTTTCATTTGTTTTCATTAAACTGCTGAACGTCCTCCATCCTTCCTGCATTCTTTTTAAATAAAGATATTAGCTGAGTCCCTCAGTACTTTCTGACTTCCATTAAATGACTTGACATTCATTTTATGCCTTAAGCGGTCTCTGAATTTTTACTACTTCAATAACTCTTATAAGACTTTTAAGACTCACAGTCTTCCTATGTTACCATAATAACACACAACTCATGTCCACAACACTGGTGAGATAGATTCAAAACAATGCTACAAAAACTGGTTATTAGTAATGTTGCTTGTGGTTTTCCCCCTCAAAAACCTTTTCACATGGTGAACACAACAAAAGAAATAACAAATGTACATTTGCACATTTTTAGTACAGTACAACACACCAAACAAAAAATCATTCTGCCCCAAAACTGAATGAACTGACTCTGGTCCTTTTATCTTTCTACTGAAGCTTCTGATTGGTGTGTTATCAGTTTTGATTCTCTGTGTTTCCACCTGGGTAGTTGTGTGCTAATTGAGCTCAACCTGTGCTGATTGAGTGAGCAATATCGAATGTCAGTGCTTTCTCAATGACCACATGGTGTAGGCAATGAGAAATAAAGGGATTTGTGTGTAGAGCTAGAGAAATGGGTGTGCTTTTTGAAAAATGGAGCTATGGTTTTGAAATTTTAGTTCAAAAGCCTGTTTATAAGCAATGGAGAAAAACTGTAAAAAAACAAACAAAAAAACATCTGACCTTTTCCATAACATTTTTAATGATTAACACAGTAACGTTTTCACTGAGCCACAGCGACACGTTGAGAAAATGTTGCACACACGGCCTTGAAAGCGTCACACAATGAGCCTTGATAGGAAACTACTTGTTCTCATCCTCCTCCCTCTTCTAGTAATTCAGAATCTGACGTCTGTGTTTCTAACAAAAATTGACAATGGCCACACGTTGAAAAAATGTTGCACACAAGGCCTTGAAAGGATCACACAGTGAACCCTAAAGGGAAATTAACAAGGGATCATTTGTGCTTGTAACAGAGCCCATCTTTTTTATTGTTGGTTTGGTCTTGATCTCATTTCTGCATCAGACCGAATGTTTATTTAAGCTGCATCCTCCAAGAAACTCAAAGTAAGCTTTTCTATTTTTTATTTTTTTTGACCAACAAAAGCCTTAGCTTCAAGATTATCTGAAGAGAAAGAAAACACTTAGTCAGTCTGGTACTGCTGAGGTTATTGGACAGACAGAGGGGCAGAGAGAGAACCGGACTAGACTGGAATCTTTTAGTAACTGGTGTGATCATTTACTGCACACTGTGTATCTGCTCTGTGGCAATAAATGATCAGGCCAGTTAAAAAAGAGACGAGTCATCTCCAGTTCAGCATAGTCCAGCTTGCACCTACCATGAACCTGTAAACAATGACATGAGTACAGCCTGCAGATACACAATGACTAAGATGTTTACATGCAAGAAACCAGATTATTGTGAGAAGTCAGCTTGAGGCGGGAAATCGGGGGAACATGTTAGTCATGATGATGATGATGTTGATGTCACTGGTTATTGAGGTTATACATGAGGTTATTTTCCTGTGCAAATGTCACCAAAAACGTGATTGTACAATGGAGCTGTCAATTTGAGTGTTTTTAGCAGAGACTTATCAGAATACACTGAGGTGTAAGACAAATGTAAAGTAATTCAATTAACTTGCATAAATTTAGTATTTTACAGAAATACTCGTTAATAAAAATATCTTAATAACCATGCAAGTCTGAAAAACTGCATTAAGAAGTCCCATAATTACTTCATTAATGAACCCTAATAAACATCTTACAAACCCCTATTACTAAATCTTGATATTTGCAGCTGCGATATTTTAATTAAGAATTCATCTAGAGTCACTGAAGAAATTAAGGAATAAAAACTGATCAAATAAATCATATTAGAAGAAATAAATCACCACAGTGAACCACACATTTCCCAACATTTAAGCGTCCATAGTTAGCATCCATATGTATAAAAACATTTTATAAAGGACACTATAATACACTGTGTAATATAGTTGTAAATGGCAATCAGAACATGTGTGTTTATTAATATACAGTATTTGTCTAAAATTATGACATAAACACAGACATGTTTTATATGATTACAACAGTGAATTTTACAATGTTTTAATTTGTCATCTCATACACCAGCCACCACATAGCCTCCACGTGACTTCTGCAAACCGCCGAAATACCAAGACCATCATTACTCTTGGGATGAACTTCTCCAGCCCATGAGGAGTTATAGTTGTTGACACATACATTACAGCAATACAGTTTTTCTCAGTTGCTTAAACATAAAAACTGGTTTATCAAGCACAAAACCCATAGCCATTACTCATTCCCATGAACACACACACAATTGCCACAACCTTAAACATTATTCACCTGTTTCCACATGTTTCAGTGTTTAAAACTCTTTATGCAAAATCATACAACAAAGTGGCCCAAGAAGTAACGTTAGGTAATTCATTGCACTGTATGGGCCTCTTCATTCAAGAATCATATGCTCTTAATATAATTAGCTCAAGTCATCACTTAAACTCAATGAGCACACTTTTCTCCAGGTGCAAACACTTAGCCTCAAATTTATTACAGTTTTTCTCCATTGCTTATAAGCAGGCTTTTGAACTAAAACCATAACTCCATTTTTCAAAAAGCACACCCATGTCTCTAAACTCTACACACCAGAGATGGGGACTCGAGTTAGAGACTCGGACTAAGTCGCACACACAGTAACTTCAGACTCGACTTGAGACTCGTCCTCAAAAGACTTCAGACTCGACTCGGACTCCAGGTGCGGGACTCGTGAACAATGTTTACTTTTAGGAAACGTCTGATGAGATTGCTGTTACTCCCCTCCCTCCGTTACCTGTAACCTGCCTATGTAGCATCTGCTGCGCGCGGCCGCACGTGAGAGAGGACAACAAAAACCGGCAGCCGCTCCGCCATTCATCATAAACTCTGGCTTTAAAACTTCATACAAGACCCAAACAAAGAAGCGCAAATAGGTTAGTTACTTGTGGTAAGTAAACATGTTTAGCTCAGCATTGGCCATCTA